CATCCTAAAATATATCTTAACTAAAGCTCTTCCATATTAAAATAAGTGTACTTATTTCTAACTCTGTCACATAAGAACTAAATTTTTGGCATTTACCTATACAAGAAAATAGACTCTGCCTTACTTTACAGGGAATTTTAAGGGTACCTTCATACATAATAATCACATGGTAATAGTAATACGAGTTGAGAATATCAATTGATCATATAATTGGAAAAAAGTAAAACTGTTGAAACATCTGTGGTACAAATGAAGTCACAATATTAATGAAATCGATGCCAGGACAGTGCTATTTATGACTACAGAGTCTTTGGTAAGCAGTGATTTGGCTTAATATTCAAAGTAAAATATACTATAACCCCATCTAAACATATAAAAACATGCAAATCAGATTTTTGCAATGATGCACATTAATTAAGCTTGTCTAAAGAAAAAAAAGGGACAGAAGGAGAATATACCTTTCTTTCCAGTTTTAAGATAAGGAAATTAATTCATTAAGAAGGAAACAGACACAACATACAGTGATAGATTGCCAAATGCTATAAAATACTAATAATTGTAAATACATGCACTGGCTAAGGAGCTGAATTCATGAAGTCATTGAGGAGGCGGGAAACAAAAGCTGATTGCTCTTTTCTTTGAGAAGATTGGTGACGGCGGTAGGTGATGGGGCAATCTAGAGAGCAGCAATCAAGAGGCTGAGAGCGGCCAAGACATGATTGGCATATCTGAAACAATGTCAAACAATCACTATTGATGACCAATACAAAACACAAAGACCACTGAAGTACATAAATAAATTATACGGTACCTTGGTTATAGACAAATCAGTAAATTCCCATTGATGTATCTTGCTTGATAGTGATGACACAAGAAGTTGAGGATTGGAACTGCACTTTTCACAAACTCCTGCATTTGTAAGATCTCCGCAGCAAGCACATTCCATTGTGGTAAAATATTGTGAAATGGTTTTTTTGAGTCCTGTCTGAGCGGTTGAAGGTAGCATTACCTGATTTCTACGTGGTAAATTCAAATACCTGCAATTTATTAAAATTTCAAAACATGTGATATGTTTAGTGGAAAGGCCAAGATTTGCAGTGTACATGTGCTGACTGAAAATGTTCTCCATAGCCTTACCATGAAGAAACATCTGCACCCAGCAATGAAAGACAGCGAGCAAGTGGTGGTATAATAGCACGGGTTACATAGTATACCCCATTGTATCTTAAACTTGGGTCTGTCAGCAGTTCATTTGGATGCCGTACAAGATTAATCAAAGTTGACCCTGGAGGACCATTCACAATGACATAAGGGACTCTTTCACCAATGCGAGGTTCTGCTCTGCAATCTTGACGAAGCCATCGTCTGTAACACAGTCAAATAATGTATATTGGAAAGAAAAAATCATTCTTGAAAATAAAAATAAAAATTAGCATGGTCTGTATACTTGGTCAGCTCTAGAGCAGGAACACAAGCACCAGGGCGATAATTTTTTTTGCCACGGTATTCTTTTGCAAATATGAGGTCCTGCACATTAGCTCTTCCTGATAAAATTTTGGTAAATTGGTGAGTGACATAATTCTTCACAGAACTCACATCACTTGTTTCAAAAAGAATTCTCAAGGACTTTTCAAGCATCTAAAAATAAAATAGAAGGTGGATAAAAGGACCTTGACATATTACCCAATGCATTTTTAATATCAGACAAGAAGTTTCTTTTGATATTTTATTCACCTTGACAACAGCTGGGCAACCATCTCTTCTAACAGTCTCAATACCTTTTGCCTCATACACCGGCTGTTTTTGATCGGCACTTTCATACATGTACCCAACATATCGTTTTTTAGTCTGCATAAAATGAAGCATTGTTACTTCATGCCATCAAATAATGTCTTTGCATATTTTACCAAACAAATTGTAAATTCACATAGATTTTAAAATTACAATTAATTCGTTTCTAAGGTAGATTTGCCACAACTTACTTGCAAAATTGAAGGTTGATAAACTTTCTCCAGTTTCAGTTTAACAGGTGTTGGATTATCTTGAGTAACTGCTGCTGCTATCTCTGCACCTATTCGAAAAGCTTCTTGCCTGCTCCTGCCAGGTACCAATACAAACAAGGAATCAGTATCTCCATAAACGACACGGGCTCCCCAATCGCCATTTCCATGAACCAAAGAAATGGCTCGTTCCAGAGTTTCTCTTCCTTTACTGACTATACTGTCACCTATCTGAAAAAAAAAAGAAGAAAAAAATGACAGTGGTAGAACAAAGAAAACAATGTGGCTTTAAATAAATGCAAAAATTTACAGTTGAAGTCAATTTCTCAAAATATTCATACTTTTGTACCTATAAAAAAGAAATACAGAGGGGTCCACAGACCCCTTCCTTTATTTTGCTTAAACTGTACCGCATGTAGGCGTGCGGGTGGGTTGCATACTCGAACGGGGCCGTAAGGCGCCGTGGTAAGTGACGGTTGGGAAGCCTGCCCGCACGCCTGCATGTGGTACAGTACAAGCAAAAAATAAAGGAAGGGGTCTTTGGACCACCCTGTATTCCAGTTCATGCCTATAAAAAGTCATCAGTGATATAAAACTACAACTAATTACATTTACCTCAATACAAGGCATTCGTCCAGAAAAATTGGCAGAAGTATAACCATAGGTCACATTCGCAATGAGCTTTAGTCCTAATTGACGAGCATGCAGGACTCTTTGCAAAGTATGATCATTCTTGTGGTGTTTCATTGACTGCTTAACTGCAAGTCGAGCTTCCAAAATCTCCTCGAGCATTCGAGGTAAAATACCCGGTCGCAATGTCTTTGATGTAAATGCAACACCATTTGGTGACACAGAAATATTGTCTTTTAATTCTTGTAAATGATCTCTATTAACCCGAAGCTCTGTGCATCCAAACTCGAAATGTGATGATCTGGATATAAAGTTTTGTCATGAACACATGTACCACCCAAACTAGGCAATAATTTATATAACCAGAAAATTAAAGAACTCACTTCCCTAGATGTTCCACGCGGCCCAGGCATGTAGAAAAGCAATAGTTGTAGGCTATTATCATGGAAGGATATAGACTTTGAAAATCCAGAACAATAAGAGGATCACTATAAAATCTGTTAAAATAAATGAAAAGTGTTTTCAGGAACAAACTGCGTAGCGCACAATCTACAAACAGCAGAGAACACACACACTATTCCAGAAAAGTACTGCCTCAACCTCACCTTGATTCGGGCTCCATTATGAGTGGCAAGCACTCTGGTGCTTTCATGTGAGCTCTCTGTTGAACTGACGGTGAAACTGGGATATAGTTCATGGGTTTAGCCAATCTTAGCATCATTGACTCCACTCGGAACTGAAAATACAAATTTATGATTATCAAATGAGACTTTATAAAAAAGAAGTGAGTCACACTTTTGAAACATAATGCTAAATGTCTCATACCTGAGATCCTCTTGACAAAACCTCAAAAAATTGTATACCAAAAATTCTTGCAAGTTCACTGGTTCTGCCAATGATATCAAGTTGATCTAAAAGTCTAATCAATCCATTAACTCTTTGTTGATAGTAGCGCACAGTCATCCATCGATAAAGACGAGTTGGATGTTCCCACCAGCGAGACAGTGTTGCAAATGAGTGACAGCTCACCCGTTGGTGAAGTACATGATACATCAAATTTTCATAAGTATAGCTTTGTAAAGGAACCTTTAAAGAGGAGAATTGTTTGTGAGCATGGAAGAATATCATGCATAGCACAGACTTTAATTCAATCAATGATGCTAACTTCTGATCTAAACAGCCTCCAACCATCCAAAACAATGCGACCAGTAATTTTGAGTCCACCAAGTCCGTTGTTTTCATCAAAGTCATCAGTTATCTTTCCTTCTTTCTGGTTAGGAATTCTTGACAATTCATTAAGAAGGTTAACACCTAGCACACTGGCTCTCTGAAGCACATAGCCCCACGACAGCATCTCAATCTGTGAAGTGCATAAAATAGTAAGATAACAAAATTTGAGTAAATGAAAACTTAATTTTAAAAAAAAACAAAGTTTTCAGTTTTGGTTTCAATGTATCTTTTTTGTCTTCACCTCAAAGCCGGCAAGAATATCTGGGTCCCACTTCTTAACTACTCCTACTAGCATTCTTAATAGAGCTGTCTCGTCATTGGCATATTCCACAAATCCATCAATGCCACATACATCTAGAACAGGTGTCTTGCAAGAAGCGTCATTTACTGCTATGATACCTAAAATTCAGAGATAAAGGTATGAAAATAAGAATGACATTGGATGAGGCAATTAACGCCATACTTAGTAGTTGAAGGTACAATACCAGTCAGCTCTGAGGGAGTTTTAAAATTAATTGGAACATCATTCGAAACATGGTAGAAGACGGCTCTAATAGAATCCCTCTCTGGATTGGGGTTCAGTGTTCCACACGAGCAGATATGAATTTCCATAGACAAAATTGTGATGTACTGATACTAAAAGAATATATTTTAAAATTGAATATAAGTAACATCAGAATTGACAAGAAATGAAGAAAGGTAAACTTCATTATTAAAAGCAAACACACCTCTTTCAGCGTCTTTGCAGATTGAAGATTTTCAAGAACCATTTTGAAACCTGGTGATGAGTTAACACCTTTAACCTGACAAGCTGATGCATTGGGGTCATTACGAAAAGATGGACCTGCTACATCACGACAAAATTGAGTGTCTTCAAGAAGATCTTTTACTGCAGAATTATCATGACTGTTGTTGAACTGCAAACGTAACGAAGTAGTGGAGGCTTGAAGTGGTTGCACACCTAAATCTTCGTCTGTTCTTAACCCCAGTGAAGGTAAGTGGGAAGTTTGGTGCAAGACACGTCGAGCTTTGTTCCAAGCCACAACATCTTGCACAGTTGGTGGCCTTCTCAGGGGTACTATACTAGTCACTCTCGTTTTCACATGATTTATCATGACATGGTTAAAACTTGTTTTCACTTGACTCAAGCCCCACAAAGATTCAACTACATGCTTTTGTTGTTCCAGGAGTCCAACAAGTCCAGGAATACTACTTTTAAATTCTTCAAGATGACAAGTTGATTTACTTGTTAAGTCAAGTACAGTGCCTCCTACCTCCATTTTACCTTTAACATCAAGGAAGTTGCTAAAGAATGGTTTTTCAAAGATAAGATCCGGTAAATTTAGTGTTGACAAACTGTCAACAACTTCCCTTCTTGATGGAGGTTTCTGTAGTTTTGTGAACACAAGAGAATGGGTACGTTTCATCAAAGGTTTCCATTCAGAACTGGCTTGAACAAACTGGCCACAAGGTAGATCTGATGAGTCTCCACTGAACTTGTCAACTTCACAGTCTCTTCTACAAAGGGATGGTGTACATGAGAGAGATCCATCTGCATCTGCACCATCACTGTAGTACTCACTTGCTACCTCATTTTCTTGAGCTAATACAACATTTTCTTCGCTAAATATATCTGAACATTCTTGACTGCTATCTTGAACTTTGATAGATTCAAGTAATGCAGGACTTGTTGAACCTTGTTGAAAATCTTTCTGTTGTGACACATCATTACTTTGAGAACATAAAAAAATGTCTCCAGACAAATTAGACATGGAAGTTGATGATCTATTCTTAGTTGTGTTTGATTCCTTCATAATGTCGTCTTCCTCAACCCTAGCGGAAAAAAGGAAGAAATTGTGATTAGTGGGGAAAAAGTGTAGGAACACATTAAACAATTTAGGCCTAGAAACTGACACTAGGTAGATTTGTGAAGTACAACAATGGAGCTTCGTCTATCACATGCCCCTTGGTGTATATTTTGTTAAGAAAATGTACCTTCAACTCACATGCAGCTTGGTCCAACAGGAGGAAGATCCAACTGACTGGACTTGGTCACTAGAATAACAGAAAGAAGATTTGTCAATTACAGTCATCAAAGTATTTTGGATTTCGGTTGATTAATTAAAGAAAAAGGAAACAAATAATTTACCGGGAGAGACTGGCCGAGGTGGAGAAAAGAGATGTGCATGATGGTGTGCTCTGGGAGACGTACAAGGAGACCAGAAACTCCAAGGTGCAAAAGGCTTCGCAAACCAGTAAGCTACAGATTTGGGGGTTTTTATTTCAGGTGGAGCAACAGAGCTTTCCTCTCCTGAAGTATTAGCAATATCAGGTATCTTTTTGATACTTATAGATGAATCATCCAGAGGTTCTGGAAATTTTCGTTTCAAGTGATTCGTCTGCTGTGCTACTGAATTATGGGGTATCTGCGGGACATGTCCTTGATTACTGGATTCGGCATTGGAATTCCCATCAAAATGACTGTCAGTGATCAAACTATTTAAGGGTGAACAGGCTTCAGTTGAATGCAAATCAGATTTATTTTTCGTATTTTTCGGAATCTTAAAATTTTTGAGGAGATCTTCTTTATGTTTATTTAAGACGGAGTTAGTAGATGGTAAAATGCTGTGTGTGTCTGCACAGTTGCTGCCTCTTCTCCTGGTTTGAATGCTAGATGTTAGTTTTGTTTCAGCATCTGCTTGCGTTTCCAATTCATCTTCGCAGCTCACTTGCTTCTTTGCGGAGGAGCTGCCCCTAGTGGAGGAGCTGCCCATTTGAGAGGAGCTGTTCTTTTGAGAGGAGCTGCTTTTTTGTGTGGAGCTGCTTTTTTGGGAGGAGCTGCCTTTAAGAGAGGAGCTGCTCTTTTGGGAGGAACTGTTCTTTGGGGAGGAGCTGCTCTTTTGGGAGGAACTACTCTTTTGGGAGGAGCTGCTCTTTTGAGAGGAGCTGCTCTTTTGAGAGGAGCTGCTCTTTTGAGAGGAGCTGCTCTTTTGAGAGGAGCTGCTCTTTTGAGAGGAGCTGCTCTTTTGGGAGGAGCTGCTCTTTTGGGAGGAGCTGCTCTTTTGGGAGGAGCTGCTCGTTGTTTTCTTTGATGTAGATTTACTTTCCAGGTCACTTTTCGGCACTTTGTCAGGTATTCTTGAGGTAGTTTCTGAATTCTCTTCCGCAATATTTTTGAAACAGTTACCAGCTGTTGAAATATGAATGTGTGGAGTATTTTGGGATTCTGTCTTCATGTTTATTTGAGGAACCACTTCTAATGTCTTCTCATGCCAGTCTGTTGATAGACCATTATTGCTTACATCAATGGTCTTCATATTTTTTGGTACTTGAGATGATGTACTGTTTTCAGGAACAGGTACTTGAGGTGATGTACTGTTTTCAGGAACAGGTACTTGAGATGATGTACTGCTTTCAGGAACAATATCAGAGAATGTCTCTGGATTGTTCTCTAAGCAATTAATCTTTAAAGCCATCTGATGTGATGGTTTCTTTCTCCTACCTTTAGAAGATGGTGATGTGTTAGAATCCACATCAATACTCAAATTTGAAGAAGCAGGAATCTCAACTTTAAAATGCTCTGCTCTTGGCTTCTCTGTACAAGATGTAGAGGCTTTAGGTTTTAGCTCCTGGTTGTTTGTGGCCGACCTCGTCTTCTTTACATTTTTAGGACCATCATAAGGAGATGACAAGTTCAGACATGTTTGAGTTCTATTAGTAGGGGAAGGAGACCGTGATTTCATATTAATATTAGGTGGTGAGCGATATATTTTGATAGATGTAGGGGTGGTTCTAACACAAGAAGTAAATTTTAATGCTTCAGATACTTTTTTTCCTTCTTCTGCCATGGGTTCTTCAGTTCTTGTACTGGTTGTTTCATTTACAGTGTCTCCATTCACAACTTCTTCACTTATAAGTGATGGATAGCTGTCTTCTGATTTCAAACTGACATTTACAGATTTTTTGGGCCTTCCGCGACCGCGTTTCACACTTACAGGCGAATCAGATTTTAAAGATTCAGCGGACAGTTCTTTATGTGGGGTTGACACAGTATTTCTTGAAGCCATCTTACTTTTGAAGCTACCAATGAGGGGTTTTGGAAGAGATATTTTACATTCAATGGATTTCTGAGAAGACTTTTGATTTATGCTTGACCTGCGACTTTTACCACTACGCATTATAGATGATTTAGTAACACACAATTTAGATGAACTGATCCTGCTTGCTAGTGGCTTACTCATTTCCATATCAATTTCAGAGTTAAAAGTTTCTGGAGTTTCTGGAGTTTCTTCCGATATAAACCAATTGTCAAGCATTTTTACTTGGTGCTCTTGACAAACATCATATAAATTTGCTTTGGTCAACTTAACTAATTGTACAGAGCACGGTTTTAAATTAAAAGGTCTTGCTTTCGACCGCTTTTGGGCTGAAAGCGACAGTTTTCTTGTTCTTTTTTCTCTTAGCTGCCTTCTTAACACTCTGTTAGATTGTTTGGCAGCAGCTTTGATGTTAGATGGCAGCGGTGTGCTGCAGTGCATTTTGCAAAGGTCCATGTTCTTCCCAAGTCTTGGAGGACCAGCCAAAGGTTTACGTCCTCTGTGCAACAGCGCATCTGTGACAGGATCAGTTTCAGTCTGTTCCTCAATCTCTTTCTGCAAGAATAAAATACGAATGTGAGCTAGCAGCTATGAGAACAAGTAAGAAAAACTTAAAGCAGAACAATTTATTTTCAAAGTAGAAGCAAAAAGAGACAAATTTAGAGTGAAGAGTGAGTAACCCTGATTTTTCTAGCATCAAAACCAAATTTACCTGCTTGTCCACAAATGCAAGTAGCTCTTCTCTCCTGGATGTAGCTGGTTGTGATGAAAATTCATCAGAACCAGTCTGCAGAATTTCCTCCATTTGATCGTTTTCCAGAGCTTCTGAGAGGCGATTCATTTCACTGTCAGAACAACTAGCATCATTGTTAGAAGGACCCCATGCCAAAGATTTACTGATTTCATCATACATAGTGTTGGTGAACCCAGGGATACCTGTATTTTAAAAGTTTTATACAAGAGTACGATATATAAGCAAGAAGACATGAAAAAGATAACCGAAATAGTTAAGATTATTTACCAGTTGGTTCATTCTCATCCTCAGAACTAGGCGAAAATATGGTGGAGTCCTCAAGATCCACAGAAGGCCTGACAGATGAAACATATCCGGCAACTTTAGAGGGTTTGCTAGAAGGAATACTTGAGACCTCGAGTTTATTTTCCTTGCTAAGCCTGGTGGATTTTCGTAATGGTGCTTTGTTTATGTCGGCTTTCTCAACAATTGTTGAAGAAGCCAAATTTATTTGGTCGTCGTTAATGGCTCCATGTCCGGTGAGCATCTCAGTGAAGGAATCGTCCTGTTAAAATACACTAATAAATACAGGAAAACTTTGTGTAAGATAATGAGAAGGGTACAAAACTTACTTTTCCAGGTGGATGTTCAGGATAAAACAGTGGATCACCTCTCAGAATAGGTTCCCCTCCTTTACTCTTTAAAGTGCTAATATATTCATCGGCACAGTGACCCTCTCTCTCACAATCTCCCCCACAGTCTTCACAGCCCGCAGAGGTCTGAAGGGGAACATCTACCGGAAAATAGGGTATTATCTCTTCACCAGGAGGTTCAGAGTTCACAATGGAGCATGGCCCTATGAACACTTCAGATAATGGAAGTAGGCCAGCCAAATCCTCCTGATCCAATGTGTTCTGGACAGTTGACTGAGAAAAATGATCAACTTCACTGGGTTCAGTTTGAATTGGGTTCCCTGAGCCTAAGGGTGTGTCAGGAGGCAAGCTATGAGTATCCACGTCAGCCCGACCAACCTCTAAGCTAGAGATAATGTTGGGGAAAGACAGTACTGACTGAGTTGGCTCTATTAACTCGGGAGCTGCAGCTGTTGACTGATCAACAGTCTTCCGAGTTTGAAAAATCAACCCACCTCCAGGACGGTATCTGGATTTGACAAAACAAATGTAAGTATTGGAGCTTTAAAGATGAGTTCACTTCAGTTAAAATTTTTTAAAAAAATTCTCACTTTTCCCTGCTGGTACTTGCTTTTGATGAATGACTCAAACCACCACGCATTCCCAAACTAAAAATAATAAATTAAAGTTAACATTGCAAACATTATTTGAGATGGATACACACAAAAAATAGGGGAGGACCCACCTTTTCCTGCCTGGATTCTTTTTAAGATCACTTAACCCATCAACCTGAGGAATTCTTGTCTTTCTCCTAAAACATGAAAATAAATGAGACAAAATGTAACAACATTACATCAGCTATGAATACTTTCTCACACACTGGTAGGTGACGACAGGTACCTTGGAGCACCGGGTTTCTTAGGGCAGTCACTGGTCCCATCCACTTGTGGAATTTTGGATTCTACATTATTGTGCTGCAACCCTGATGGACCTGGCTGAGGTTCATGAATCAGATTATATAATGCTGGGTTTTCATCAATGTTAGGCAAACTCAAGTCAAAAAGCTGCAAAACATTGTCCTGCAAGTAAAGATGTTAAATGCTTTCCCTCAAAAATCAGTTGGTTACAACAAACTACCAGGTTCAGGAAATCTACCTCCTCTGGGACAATGGTCCTATCCTGCCACTTTTCATCCTCTCCAGAATCATCACTGGTGTCCTCGTCTGCTGGGTTGGCCCGAACTGTTTGGGAACCGAGCACACTGTCATCATCAACAGCAGCCGGTCCAGTGACGGCAAGTGCTTCCAAAACATCAAGAAGTTCAAAGTCATCATGATCCACTAAAGACATGAAAAAGATGTTATTAATTAAAAAAACATTTTGGCAGGGAAGGAAATTACATTGATTTACTTACATGCTAAACTTTTATCTAAAAGACGCTGGCTTGAAGGTGAATTTTGAAGAGCCAGATCCTCATTAACAATAGTGTCCACTATGGGTTGTTGTGGATAGACCTCTGTGGCATGGAGGCTAACAAAAGATGCATCTAAAGCTGGATTGTTCGTAGGTTCTTCCATGGCATATGATTTGTTTGAAACTGGTTCTCCTGAATTGTCCTCCTGATAGATAAAAAAAAGAAAAAGAAAAAGGATCAAGTCATCTACTCTATATGCTTATTATTATTTCTAAACAAGATAAGAACCAGAACTTTCAAACTACCTGAGATGCACTATTAATAATGCCTTCCAGTCTTCTGAGAAAAAATATTTCGCTTGCTGTAGGTTTCAGAGGAGGTCTTTGGGAATGAAGTTGTGGGATGGGAAGTGGAGTCCCTGGAGTCATGGACCTCCTCCTCCTTTCATCCTCCCATATGGCACCAATGCCTGGATTATTTAACTGTCCATTACCTTAAAATCAAAACATAATTAAAACAAGAGCCGAGGAAAACTAAAAAATCAGATACTGATAGATAAATACCCTGAGATGAAGGGCGGTTTGAAATATCAGCAGCCACCACATCCACTTCATACTGACTACAACTCATTGCTGGAATAGTTTCTGGTACAAAACTATCATGGGGTAACTTGGCAAGCAGCTCTAGAACAAATAAGAAGGCTATAGAAGATAGAAGATGTAAAGTTGAAACAGTTTTAATTAATGGAACATAATGATATACCTGGAAAATTTGTTTGTCGATATTTAACAGAACAAAAGTCAATAAAACTCATCCCGTAAAGGTTGAAATCAATAAAAAATTGTAAAATAAATGGAATGTGTGCCTCGTGAGGCTGATACACCTTGTTCATAATTGCTCCATTCTGTACACAGAACACATTTACATGTTACAACAGTGTAAATGAAAGGACAAATGGTAAAATACAAGCATAAAGCATGTGGATAAAATGTAGGCAATACCTGCAGTAAACTAACTGCCTGCTTAACAACAGATGGCTTATAAAAGTAAACTTTCAAATACTGATGTTTGTTACGGTGGTAGCCATGAAATGGGCTGCAAAAAAAACAAGAAAACAGGAACACAGGCTAAGATGATTAGATCATAGATGTGCATATATGTCAGGTATAGGGCAGATCTACACTCTAAATTACTTACACTCCTGAAACTAGCACAACCTTGTACACATGCTGTATGTTAGAACTAGAATAGCCAGATGCTATGTTGATAGCTTTGTCAAGGCTAGCAGCCAGTTGATAAGACAGTTTTAAGTGCGGCTCTGATCCATCATATGGGATACATATGTATGGGAAGACTCCATGAACATGAACACACGTCTTCTCTCCTACAAATAAATGTTGAAAGCATAATGAATAGGTTAACATTTCACAGAAGTATAACGAAAGGCTAATAGTACAACGTGAAACTCACCAGTAGGTGTAGTGCCAAATATTCTGATGACAGGCACTTGTTTAATTGCAGATTTTCGAAACTCTGAGTAGCTTATATCCAAGCCTGGAATAGGGGTGGACATATAGTGATCTACTGTCACTATTCTAACTTGAAACATTTTGAATTGAACTGAAATTAGAAAACGAAACTGTAGTGTTGACCGATCAGCTGCCAATTTAATGATAAGAGCAATAGTATAACTTCATGTTTTTCCACTTTTTGTTTCAAAAAATACAAGTTAAACATAAGTGATTCAACTACATTTAATTCTTGTTTGCACAGAACAAAAGTACCTGATGCATGTGATGCAATAACATGGTAAAAATAAAATCCAATGCAAAAGGTATTTAGCTAAAAAATTGACATAAAAAAGTGGGAAATCACTTATGTCAACAACAGACACTGTCAAAGACAAATCAATCAACAGAAAATAAATTGCTTGCAGTATATTGGAAGACACAGAGTATGGCTCTAAAGAGTTCGATTAAATGATCGTGTTGTGCTTTGTGTTGTAAAATATGTAGAGCTTGATTTCAAAATTGTAATAAAAGATGAAACAGCCTCAACTGGACTTGAAATCGAACTAATTTCATTGATTTTTAATATTTTTACGAGTCAAATGGGTCCGACGGCGTAAATGACCAAAGCATTCCTCTAAAGATTGACGAAAATGACCCGAATTACATAGATCACAACGTTCTCACTACGTATTTATAAATATATATATAATAGATAAAACAAACATTTAGAGTACGAGAATGTACGAGAAATTCTCCGCAAGTACGAACAGCATGCATGAGGTTAGTTAGCAAGTCTCTAGCAACTACATTGTAATAACAATCGCACACAACATGACAATGCGAATAAAAGCAGGGGCCTTTTTACCTGGTTATGGCGCATCATCCAATTACACTAGAAACAATGTATGAATATAATGTCAACAAGTTATTTCCTTTAGTTTCCGAAAGTTTCCGCGCTAACAAGGAGGCAAGAGCGTTCAAACAAGCAAACAAATAAGAAGCATGGTCAACATAAGATGAAGAACAATATGTACGTGATGATGTACTTGACGTAACCACTAACCGACCTGACATCTGTGAAGAAAGTTTACGAAAATTTGCATTTGGGGGCATAAGTCGTTAATTCAAGGCGGTCTTATATCTCCTTAACTAAATCACTGACGACTAAAGTATTTTTTTTAAAAGCTACTGATCACGTGCAGTCACATTAGTCACAATAGCATTAATGTACTTCGTTAACTGAACTGACTATACAGCTATACACTACTGTGCATTTGGTATGCCCTCCAAATTGCCAACTTAACAGGACAAGTTTAGAAATTAGCAAGACGGATCAAAAAAAAGGGGGGGGGGGCTGGCTGATGTGAATGCAGCACTAAAAAATTAGGCTGAGTTTTTTTAGAAAATATCTTTTGTTATGATTCCGTCAACTCGTCAACTTGGATTTTCAACAAGATTTTTTTATTGTAGCCAAACCCACATTTTTGTTAAGGTCATCGTTGATTGTTCAGTTCTGACGGAAAAATTAAAAGTAGCATTTAAGGTGCACGATGTGGCATAATGCCTGGGTTTGAAAGACAGAAGAGACACATTCAAAATGTAATATTTTATTCAAATTGAAGACTACCTCACAATTTGATTGGCCTGAAAAACACCAGTATATACTCTTGTAATTGCACAATATCCCCCATCCCCGATTCCCAATAATAGTAAAGATAATAACAAAATACATGTAAAAGTTAGAAAATACTGCTTTGTTTTCAATACAAAACGATTTTAAAAAAGAGGAAAGAAAAGCAAACATGACAAAATGACAGACACAATAATATGGCAATACATCATTTACAAAATTGATGGGTTGAGTATATAAATGCATCAGAGGGTCTTGAACGAAGGAGTTATAACTCTTTCGATCAAGAGAGGAAGATGATTGATAAAAGCTGATGGATGGAGTGTGGTCAATAAATGCTGAGGCCAAGTGCCAAACCCCACTGGGTCTCGCCTCCTTTGGTCAAACTAGAAGATAAATGTTTAAACTGGGCCAGCCCCTTTTGCTAGCAAAACTGACAATTATAAGATAATTTAAAGTTGACAACACAAATCATTTTCCAAATATGTAGGTACATAAACATACATATTGATAAGTCAACAAAGAGAACTCAATAATAGATAAGATAAGAGTAAAATTAGAAACATTATTCCTTAAAAACAAGAAACTTAAACTTTCAAAACTAATAACCAAACAAAAACTCAAAGTCATAAAAAAAGCAAAAATTCATTATTAAAATGAACAATACAAGTACTTGTTCAGAAGAATAAAGCAGTCTGTCTTAATTACATGATGAAATTGTTTTGCATCGAATTTATGAGGAAAAGGCAAAGATATTTGTTTAGGTAGAAAAGGCACTAACACAGTTTCCTACTCCTAATTCACATATCACAGATTGTCTTTTAAACAGACCGCTACCTGACGGCAATCTGTCATTATGTCAAGATGCAAAGCAAAAATTCCCTAGACTACATATCACATGTTACTTTAACTGTAGGGGAATGTTGAGCATGTTCCTATGAATATGGGCTAAGATAACCATTCACCAATTAATCTTATTACAAGTTAGATCGTAGGAAGGGCTTCATGTACTCATGGAAAGATTTATTGACTGGCTCCTTGTTTAAGGGGCTTTTCTGAGACTCTTCAAACAAACGCTCATAAACACGGCCATCCCACGCCCCCAAAGGTGAAGCCAGAATATCGTCATGAATGTCAAAAGAGTCCACAATTCCAACTGCATTGGGGCGCAGCTTTGTGAGAAGTTGTTCCAACCACAACTGCAATCCATCAACGTCAGCAGGAGACAGATTTGAGAACTGCAAATTATATAGATTGATTAATATAAATTATATTACAGTAAGGAACCAAGCTGGGCACACATGACATGTAATAAGGATAAAACTTACCATTAAAAAGTCACCCTTGTTATTTAACAACCAGTAAACAGCATAAAGCTCAGCCATTTGGCATAATACTGCTTGAAGAGGTCGCGAAACGTCTGTCTTAGAAACTGTTTCGATAAACTTTTCTACAATAAAAGCACGGCAGTGAGCCTGAGAAAAAGGAGGGACGAACAATATGAATAAAAATACAACTAAAATTTTAAAACTCTTAACACAACACCAAATTAGTTACATACTGTAGAGGCAGCAACAAGCTCAATGGAAGTCTCATTCCAAGCATCCTCAGGTGTCATGCCACCTTTAGCACGCCGCTCCATGTGCTCAGCAGCAGCTTTAACTTTCCTAGAAAATAAATTTTAAACAATTAAATAATTTCTTGAAATTTTCTTTTCACAGAAAAGTATTACAACTTACCCAGCTGCTACTTGGTAAAATGCCTTTATGACACAGTCTGTAGTATTTTCCCACACTGTGCGTGGTTGCCGCCAGTCAGAGTAAAGATTTAAGTATGCCACTGAGGGTGTTAGAGTTTGTCCACTTCGAGCCTGCTGCCAAGTCTTCATTAGGTACCTGGAGGACAAATCTTTACAGATGAAGTAATCCAGTATGCATTCCATGATTTGATTCACTTTTAAAGTATGAATACCTTGCTGTCTGCAACAGTAAAACAGTGTTTTCACCCTCATATGTACAAGCAGCTGTAACTAGTCCATAAGTTGATGGCAGGTTACTTGATTTCATGTAACCATGGCCCCCACAGGCCAGCCGGACAATTTCTACAGCAGATGCAGCATCACTTGTGCAGAGGGCTTTCAGACAACATGACACAGCATGAAGCTGAAATACAGTCAAACATGTCACTCTTTCAGTAAATATTTTGACTTTGTATTTAACATGATTAGTTGATTGCATACAGGCTGAACGGAAAGCAACCTATGGCAGTATCAATTTTACCTCTGGCAACCTTTCAAGATCTCCTTGATCAAGCTCACTATTCACCACATTATACATTTCCCAGATCCAATTGGCAGAAAACTTCATGGCAAAAACAGAGGCAATGGAAGGGAGTAGTTTGTACTGCTGGGTACGATAATCAAGAACTTGAGGCTCCGGAGCTCTATACCACCACCAAACAGTTGCAGAAAGTTATTTGGCAACATGAAGAAATTGAAGAGAGTAGAATGCTAATTTACACGTACCCGGGCTTCATTTCAGATTGGTGTCTCACTGCACTGTAGCGAGTTGCAATTGTGACAGCTTTAGATAGATAACTCGCCATGTCCTGGCAGATGACCACCCTTACAAACATCATAGTTCCATATGTAAGTTTATCGCTAGGAGATTTGACGTAAGTTCCATCCTAATAGATTAGGGGGGAAGGGGTAGGGGGAGAGGAAAAATACAAACTTTGACAAACAAAAGAAACAGGAGAAAATCACAAAAAGTATCATGACTGAAATTTAACAAGTACACATACCTCCAGTACTTTGTTGTTTTTCATCAGCATATTTTCCCTTGGAATACGAACTTGTTTGAAGCCAAGGTACCCATTGTTAGTGGTGTTCATTCCCAGTTTGGCACCAATTTCTCCAATAATGATTCCTGGCATTGGCATGTGTGTCTCTTCATCTCGTAATTGAACAATAAAAGGATGAATGCCATGACATTTGCCTTGAGTATAAAGCTGAGCAACAACTACTGCATAGTTAGCAGTGTGTCCCACTAAAGCAAAAATAATAAGTAAATTGATTGGATTTATGAATAAGAAAGTAACACTTCCACAACAAAAATATTGCTATTACTCACAGCCGCCTGGCCACCACTTGTAAGCAGTCAGAGTTGGGCTATTTAATACAAATTCTTGTGTGGATGGATCATAAGTGGCTGTTGTTTCCAAGCCACGAATAAATGTGCCATGTCCAAGCTCTGTCTGTATGTGAGAGCATTGATAGTAAAAAGAGTAAGTTAATAAGACTCTTTAAAAAATAATAAATAGTAATGTAAGTATGAACTAACCTGGGCATATGTCCCAACAATTTCTAGATTCCAGGCACGTGAAATCCAATAAGCTTGTTGTTCAACTGTACCTTGCCCAGCAAGGGTAGGCAAAAACATAACATAGTGCAGTGCAAGAGGATTACCATCCTTAAGAATTGCAGACCCCAACATACCACCGAGAAGTTGCCTGAAAGTCACAATTTTTAACACATTAACTCTCAAATAGTGAAAAATGCTATTAAATGGTAAACTGGGGCTGAAATATTGAGAGGAGCAAATTAATTTGCATCAAAACAAGGGCCACAAATGTCAATGGAATCAGAAATAAATGAATGAGTACACAATTTATAAAACACTTCACAGGCTAAATGTCATGCACATAATATGCCTCTGACACCTCTTAGAAAGTAAAAGGGTTCACAGCTTATGAACAATCTAGGCAAGCTATATTTTCAAGTTCCATGCTGATAGCGCCTATCTCATGTAAGAAGATATCCCATGCACATAATAGATTACATTAATACCCCTACAATAAAAAATTGACATTCCACACAAGTTGTATGAGTACTCACTTAATTCTCTGAGCCACGGACTCAACTGGTGGTTCCCTAAATACAGAAATTACTTCCCATTAACACAAAGAATTATCTTAGTTAGTGCTAAAACATGCATGTTTGGAAGAACCAAATCACTAATTTCAACAGGATGGGACTTGACAAAAGATTGTTTTGAAAAAAGAGAGATATTCTCAAACTTAACTCACAAATTGTAGATTAGATACAAACACAACTATGTGTTACATAATTAATTCCAGTTTATTGAGGGTTACATCAACATACCATCTTATCCAATTTCATAGAAATTTTCAAGAAAGAAAAGAGAAACTTTTTTTATGTATGTATTAATTTCTACCATCCTTTCAAAATTAGCAGACAGAGTACATTTTGAATTATGAAAAAGTACCAGTGAAAGAGTCATAGCAAGAACATACAATAGTGCAGGAACATGCAAAACTTGTGAAAAAGAAATTTTGCCACTGTGTTAACCCAAGCAAAGAGACAATTACCAGTCATAGTTAGAGCTAAGTGGCCGGCTAAACCTAGGGTTATAAAAGGTTTGACATGTTGAAGTGCAAGTGCATAGCTGGTATCAATACAAACAGCAACTGACATGATAAGAATATTCTAGACAGAAAAATAAAATGTAAATGTACCCTTCCTCCCCTACCTCAAAACAAAGAAACTATTTTTTAAAAAAAATCTTCCTTAATTCAAGCAAATTTAGGAACACTCTGCAGTTCAACCTAGGATTTCCAAAACACCATCCAGACAAAGGGGTCTCTTGATCTGCTTGGGTCACAGTGCACCACAGAGACCGAGTTTTGCTCTGGGTCTCTGCGTTCTCTGAGACTTCAAAACCCAAGCAACCCAAGCAGCCCAAGCAGCCCTCTTGTCTGGACACAGCTAAAATTGATATGGTCAATGCTAGCTTTAGTTTGTATGTTTAGCCTAGCACAAGCTCTAACCAGAACATATACATTAGCAGCTGGACAGATCACAGAGCACCACACTATGAATGGAGGTATAGAATAAAAAGTGCAATCCAAATATTTGTCTCTAGGAAAACATAAAATAGTTAAGTAAAGGGTTATTTAAGAAATATGATGCATGATTAGATTAGAGAAAAAAATAAAAGGCGACATACCTGAAATTATCCATGCTACCGTGAGGCATTTCTTGGAGCTTCCTGAACATATGACAGGCTTTACGAACAGAATGTTCATACTGTTCCTGATGACTCAAATATTCCATAGGCACTTCATCTTTGAAAGCAGGATCAGAGAGAAAATACTCTTCTGCAAATGAAAATTAATGGCAGACGCAGTTGGAACAGGGTACTACAGAACATAAGTAATAACTAAAGGCAAAAAGAACATCCAATTTTTGTTTGAGATTTTTATGGATAAACGCTTACCTCTTTCCTTCCTCTCAAGAGTTTTAGCCTCTCCTCCATCAAGCAAATGAGTTAGTTCTAGTGTGTTGAAACTGCAGTTTTGTCTCTCCTTAACCAGGTCTTCGTTTACTGCACCATTTTCGGACACCATTTCGGACTTCACAGAGTTCTGAGTAGGGCAGGAGTAGTTGGTTAACGTCGAACAGGTTCTATCCCCAACTCTTGAAGTAGACAGTCTCCGGTCTCGGCTTGTGGCCAGTCTCGGTAGGCACAGCAGCGCAGCGCAGGAGGCCAAGTCCAATCTTGCGTCACGTCCAATCCAAAGTTCTATTGGCTAAGCAGTGTCAATTATCTGTTTCTGTTGTTATGGTGTGAGCAGTGGCCTGGCTTTGGTCTGACGTTTTCTTGACTGCAAAAAAAAAAAAACAGAGAGAAAAGATGCACATTCATACTGGAAAAGATAGGTTAGTTTGATTGTAGTAGCGGGTTATTCATCAAATATCCCTATAAAACTATGTAGATGGTCTACAAGACGCCAAGAAGAACTATTTCCAAGACTTACTGTTCGAAATTGTCCAATTAAGCATGGGAAAAGGAGAAAGACTCACTGCGTTTGGCCCCTGATCAGCTGTTTCTGTTGTGTTGGAAAAGAGGGGGGGGGGGCGTAGTAGTGGTTCCGTCCGCTACAGCAGTTTCTCGTAGCGTTCATTCAGGCGGGAATTCTGTTTATATTAATTCTTGTCAGGATATGGTACGTGCTACGTGTCAGGAAATTCTACTCAATTTAATGTAAAAGCAGAATGCATTTTAGATTCACGTGCTGTGTTGCCTAGCCGGTGATTTATCGATGCGAGTTTTTAGTGCTCGTGGTGTGGTACCCATGTGGGGGATACCCTTCCCTTCAGCGCGCCCGCGCCGCAGACTTGAAGTATTGATCCACAGCATTGATTACCTTGAGCTGACGAGAATTCCACATTGAAAATGCACCAGAGGTACCTTTGCCTCCAAAATCCCTTGTCACCAAGAGTGCTCTCATTGGTTAGGGCGTTCAGGTTTGGGTATGCTGATCTTAAAGTGATGCAATAAAAATGACAAAAATGGTCCGTTCATGTTCAGATTCGTATTATTTTCAACTAGTTTTTGAGGTAAGTTAAAACAGCGGATTTCAAGGACAATTATTTGGATATGGTTGACCATATGTTGTAAATTAATTTAAAACCTTTGCCCTGCAGTACCTCATACACATGAACTTATCTGAAACGGCTACAACTTTTAAAAGAGAATGTGGTTTAAAGAGATACAACTTGAAATTCAATGAGGAGTTGTGTAGCAGCAGTGCACCTACTTTTAACGTTCCCAAAATTGTCCTTTATCTTCCAACAACTTTGCATGCAGATGAATATAGTTCCCCAGAATCAGTTTCTAAACAGAGCAGTAATTGTAATTGTTTTTCTCATGAAGACACTCATGACATTATTCTCATTAAGCCTCATAAATGGGAAGAAAAAATCGGAAAATCGACAAATACACAAAAAGAGAGTCAGCAGAAGCTTTCAAAAATTGAAAACTCTGATTTCATGGGCAGTTATGATAATTTATCCTTCTTTGTTAAAAGACACAATGAAAATGCTCTGCTGTCCTCACAGCCAAAACAGAACATCTTTTTAAGGAGTGAATCAATAACAGCTAAATCAGACCCAAATAAGGAACACAACCTTAACTATACACAACTGAAGACAAAGTTCAGTAAGCTGCACAGTGACTATCACAATTTAATAGGTTTGTGTTTTTGATTATATTTTAGATTTAAGTGTTAGTTTAATTCAGTTTAAATGTTACCTGTTGGGTATTTTTTGTGTCTCTAGGTGTTGCTTCAGAACTCACTGCTGCCTTGGAGATGAGTGCACGAGGTCAGCAAATTGATTTGAGACAAACTCTCAACAACTGTGTGCAGATATATCCAGAACTTTTTTTGTATGACATAAATGCAAAAGATATTTCTAAAAAGGTATATAACAATTTTTAATATATGATCACTTCATGGGGCATGTTGATAGTATTCTAATCCAAATAAATTGTGATTTTCTTTTCTAGGATATAAAAGGAAGATTTTCAGTGAGGTCAACAAACTGTGAGTGGAGACTTCACATTCCCTTAATCAAAAGACACTTACAGGAAGGGAATGTAAAAACACGTCTCCTGCTGTTACAAGCATTACGTTGGGTATTCTTTTAAATGTTCCAATGTTTTTACTACAGTCAAGTTATGTAAAGTTATTTCATTATTTTTACATACAGGCTATAACAAAAAGTTCTTCTCAGAAAAGAGAGTGCATCATGAGTCAATATGTGTGGTGGGATTTACTTAATCTAAAAAAAGGTTCATTACTCAAAAGCTTACTTGCACCCCTTGGAGTTGTTACACCTCACCCTCTGCAACAGTCAGTTGCTCGTTTGCTGAACACAGTTGCCTCTGTTCAGTCTGGTCGCAATTATTTAGCTCAAAATTCTCAAACTGTAAATGTCACTGCCGCTGTCCTGCAACAGCTTGATGGAATATCTTCTGATTCTACCACTCAAAATATGCTGTTGGCAGCCCTCCAGAAGCTTAGTCTAAGGTTAAAGAATTCTCAAAACAGTTCTACCAGCAACCAACAATAAATTTAAATTTGAAGTGTGATTCAATTTTGGTTTCAGGAGAAACCAAAGAGTTGCAATGATCCAAGCTGGCATGGTTGAATGGTTATTTCAACAATTTTCAAATCATGATGAAGAGTCCTTGTATTCAGTTGAGTACGGCACTGCTCTTCTAATGAACCTCTGTCTCCATCAATCTGCTAGAGAACTATGTATTCCTATGGCCCAAAATGTGCTCACTGTACTTATACGTTTGCTTTCAACTCCAGTAACCCAGGTGGATATATTATAGGAACTGCAATCAATCTTCTTATTATTTTAGTATCATTTAAGTCGTAATTTTATTTCAAAATGTTTACAGGCACTGGCTTATATAAATGGAACATTATACAGTTTAATCACACACCCTAAACTAAATGACGCTGCATTAGCAATTGGTTTACAAGAGGCCTTAGAGTATAATATTAAGAAACAAACCAATGCAGAGATCAGAAAGCAAATGCAGCATATTCTGGAGTTCCACAAAAGCTTACCTCGTTGTTCAAATTTCAGTACAGCTTCCTTTACAATTAGTGAGGGAGAGATGATAGATGAAGATGATGTGAGTACTGTTAGCATTATTCAATTACAATCTTGATTATTTTTGTAAACAGCTTCTTTGAATTGAATACTACCAGGAAGATCTAGAACTCTTAGGAGACGAACTTGATGAAAGTGATCCTGTTCGTAATATTAATGGAGAACTAAGTGGAGAGAACTTGTTAGAGGCCTGTTACACTCTACCAGGTCAGACCCATAGAAAAATCCAGACTTAACTGGCTCAGAAATATGACACATACTCAAAGTTCTTTGCAAATGTGGTGCATGTAGTAGCTATCTTCACATTTTTACCTCTGTCATAATTTGCGTCCTTGCAGAAAATAATGGAGAAACCACACAGTCAGAATCGGAACCTTCTGAGGGTAGCACATCTTTGATGTTTGGCCCCTCTACTCCTCAGCACTTAAGACAAAATATCTTACATCGCATAACAGAACAAGTTGGGAATGACATGGTTTGTATATCGGAAGTTAAATGTTTTACATTATTTTCAGTTTAATGAGATATTTTTTTATTTTTTTAAAGAATACTGAAATAACTGAGGTGCACAATGTAAGCATAAAAAATAATTGGCACTGCAGAAAACTTAGAACAGGAAACCAGCAGAAAAACCATGAAATGCCAAATCAACATTCATTATCAGGAAGTGATACAAGTGACGCCCCCCAGGAATATGAGGGAGAAATAATGTCATCCAAAGAAGTTCTCTGGAATGATAAAAAAATAACCGAACCCACATTTAATTTAACTAATGAGCTCTTAAATCTTCCATCAGATGTTTCAAAGATAACTGTTCCTGAAATTTCAATACATTTGGTTGATAGTAAAGAAAATTCTATCAATACTTCTGATGTAGATGAAGACTCAGAAGATGTTCAAGTAGCTTCCACTGGGTTACATAAAGAGCAGTCTGGGGATGAATTTTCTTCAAATACCTTGTAAGAGACCTTTATCCTTTTTCTTTCCTTTCACTCCCTCTCAAACCATTTTGCCAGAAATTTACTATTTTTGTCTTTTCAGGAAAGGAGGCACTGCCTCTGCATTTACTTCCCGGCCCAAAATACCCCGTACCCCTCCACAGTCTTAAAGAAGACATCTATTCTAATATTTATCTTTTTCAACAAATTTTATTCATTGAATTTAAAAAAATAAAAAGTATGATTATTCCACTGTCTGTTTTTAATAACTTTGTTTTGGGGAGGGAAGACCACTGCTTTCTGGACATTTCCTCGGCCATATTAGGTTTACCGGGGTCAGATCCATTGCGCCCGGATCGACCTTGCACCGTCATTCCCCGCGCCGTTCTCCCCGCCTTTCCCTGCCCCCTCTCCAGCCGCACCGCCAGCCTCCCGCGCCAACAGTCCGCGATTGTTAAGCTTGGACCACGACTGCTGCGGGTGCGCGCGCCGGGGCCCTATAGCCGGGGCCCTAGCTGGGAGCCCGGGGCGTCCGTGTTGTGACGCGGGGGCCGCAGAGGAGATAGGCAGGCGCTCCCGTCACTCCAGTCTCGTCGCGCGCCGCACCGCCTCCGCGCCGCACTGCAGCTGTCGCGTGCCCCAGCAACCGGCTGTCATCAGTGTCATCAGATCTGTGCCCCAGCGTGCCCCAGCAGTCAGATCTAGGGCCATCAGTGCTCTAGCAGCCCTCAGCAACTGCCCCAGCACTGCCCCAGCACTGCCCCAGCACTGCCCCAGCATCTTGCAGTTGCCTTCAGTTGCCTCAGCAGACGACAGCAACCCTGCACCTCATACGCGGGCACGCGCCCAAACTGGCGCGAAGATCGCATCCCGCGCTTTAGGTGGTGAGTGTGGCCGTGAACGTGACCGACCCGGTAACCTGTCGGCACTTCCGTTTACATGTGCGAGTTCTACCGAATGATAAGTGTCTGCACACGGGCGGTCTGTTACCGGGGGGCGGGGGTAAGGGACAACCCTCTTGTCGCCTCTAATGAACCAACTGAAATATTGGCAATTTGCTCAAGAAAACCCAAGTATGCATGTAGGCAACTCACGGTGCAATGTGCCCCCCCCCCCCCTCCTCCCAGTCAGCCGGAACTTAGCTTATCAATGCATAAATAATATTTAGTTAGCTAGCTGTAGAATTAGTTTTTTTTTGTCAGAGTGCAGGGAAGGGGTGGGGAGGAGGGTGACTCGTGACTTTGTGTTTTTTGGAGCTCAGTAGAGAGAAAGGGCGGGAAACCCAGGGAAACCCCACCCGTCCACTACCTTCCGCTGGGAACTGAATCTGTAGAGTTTTCGGAAATATCCAAGCCTTCCTGCACTTGACGGGGACTCCCGCTCCAAGCAAAATAAAAATGGATCACATTTTCTAGCTTCAAAGTGTGTGACAAAATCTTAACCACTCACTCTTTTGAATGTAACATTTGCCGTCATACTATAAAACAGTCCTCAACAACTTGACAAATAGAAGTGCGTGCCAAAATGTCACACACAACAGTGTGACATGCCTGCCTGTCACTCACACTTTTGTGTGTAACATGGCTGTCATACGCACTTCTGAATGAAAACTTTTTTCACTTTTTGGTGTTTGGATGTGACACACTTATAGTAGCCTTGGCCGAACGAAACACTTGGCCCGCCATGTGCGTCGTGCTTGCGCGTTGCTAGCGCGGCGCTTGCGTGATGTCCAAGACAATTAAAGGCCCTCCTCTTGCTACTTCCTCCAGTCCCACAGTGACACCAAACCGACCTAATTACTTTGGGGTCACGTGTTTTGTCTCGGCTTGAAATATTCATCCCCCACGGCGTAGAACTCTGCTACACTGTAAGGAGTAACGCCGAACCGTGTCGAACTCCTGCTTGCACTCTAAATAGGGAAGGACAATTTTTGTAATACCTAGATTAAATGTGTCCTTGCGCCGCCTTGCGCACATCTTCATCAGACACAAATTTGTTTGTACGGAGGTACTAATTGTCCCTAGGCTGTACAAATGCTGTATTTTGTATGTGGCGTAGATATAAATTTGTATCTGATGGAGATGTGCACAAACAAGGGTTGCATCAGCAGGTAAGGGATTGCTGTCGGGAAGCAGGCAGCAAACCGAACAGCAAAGCCCGATTTCACTCTAATTTTTACATTATGCGACATGACACTTTATTTTTATTGTGGTAGCACCATTTTTTGGACTTGAGAAAGTTCACTCAAGTTCAGTAAAAAGTACAGTGAAAATCGGGTGAAATCGGGCTTTGCTGTCCGGTTTGCTGCCTGCTTCCCGGCAGCAATCCCTTAAGCTGATACAGCAAAGGACACATCTAGCCTAACGTGCAAAAGTTGTCCATCGCCATTTAGTGTGTGCGGAGTGCGGATACGCCTTGCGCACTTCGGACTTTGTTCGGATCGACTGCAAACCACTTCATACTCCCGCACTTCGGATTGTCTGATTCTTTTGATCGCAGAATGGTGTAAGAACTACCGGAACTCGCAGTGTGTGTGGGCCTGGTCCCAGTGAGAAATGAAATATCGATACGACATCGTTTCGACATCGCATGTCGGAAATGTATCGAAATCAGGTACATTTTTTATCGTTTACGATACAATTTACGACATTCGATATCTGGACGTTATCGTTTCGATATCGCATCAAAAACCTCTTCGCACTGGGGTGTGCACACAGGACGACATAAACTCTGCAGTGATGGTGACCGCTGCCAAGTAGACTAACATTACGTACTGTAACATGGCCCTCTATAAGCAAATCCTGGCGCCGGTGGACCAAGCGACCCATACCCATATGCTTATGCTTTACACTGAGAAAAAAAGTGTGAACTCGTGCCTTTCAAAGTTTTTCTGGATGGCATTTGCTAAATTTACCTTTTACAAATGCCCTGGAAAGGCAGGACTTAACAATCATGTTTTTGCAGTCTATGCGGTCGTGCGTTTGGGTTGCCTATGCACATGGGACTGCAACACGGCAAATATTTGGTCCAAGATATGATTTTTAAAGTGACCAAGAGCAGTCTGGGGATGAATTTTCTTCAAATACCTTGTAAGAGACCTTTATCCTTTTTCTTTCCTTTCACTCCCTCTCAAACCATTTTGCCAGAAATTTACTATTTTTGTCTTTTCAGGAAAGGAGGCACTGCCTCTGCATTTACTTCCCGGCCCAAAATACCCCGTACCCCTCCA